TTTCCTGGCATGTTGTCTGTGTTGTTTAGAAAGTACATAGAAATTCAAAACTATATTCAAGCTAATGGTTTGAAAATGTAGCTAATACAAAGATTCATTTAATGTGTGCACAAACCCATCTGGTCAATGAACACAAATACAGGAGAAGGTTGAAGAGCTTTGGAATAGAATAGTTTTACTTTTCAAATAGCTTTATTCTTCAGGAGGATTGAATTGCAATTCCATAGCAATACCTATGCTTCAGAATGAAGAAGTGTAGGGACTGAAAGAATGGTGGGGAAAACAGTTCTTTAGAATTTATTCCTGAAAAGGAACCATGGAGTGCTGGAGGAGGCTTTTGCATTAGCTGCTGAACCTAAGTTCATTTATGCTGTGTTCATGCTCCTGGTGCCTTTAGAATGTGAACTTTGAAGAGACTTGGAAAGTAGCAAGACATAGCAGGGGAGGAGTGCAGGTCTACCAGCTTTCGATGGATTCCATCAGGAACAAATTTGAGCAGATGGTTGGTTATTGTCCTCCTAGTAGGAGTCACCTGTGAGGTCTCTGCTGGGCCCTGATCAGCAGCTGTACCACATGCTTCCTTGGGAATCTATTTGCAGATGACACTGTACACTGTGAATGCCCAACAGGCCCCTCCCTTCTCTGCCTTATTCCAACATCAAGATAAAGCTGTTGGGTATGTCATAGGAAGACAGACCAACAACAGACTCATTTATACACAAAGACACTTTTGAGGAAATGCATTTGCTGTAAGAAGTCTCACTTTAACTACAGTGAAATGATGTGAGGTACTATGAGTTACTCTGTTCAAATCCTTCACACAGTGAGTCTGATGCACACACTTTTAAATAATTGTATCCTTTTGTGTAAATGGACCAAAGAAGTATCTTTAACAGGAGTGTGTGAGAGAGAATATTTTTGCTCCTGAGGCTGCAGCTCCAGCCCTAATTTTCTACTTCCAGCAGCACTCCTTTTTAAAGTGTCACTTTTTGGAAAATGTTTGTAGATCACATTTTCTCTGTGACCGATGTCAGTAACATTTTAAACCTTTACATGTTAACTGTGCAATTGTACCAAGGTAAAAGCCATGCAATTGAAAGCATGAACTTGACCTTTCAACATGGAAACAAAATGTACCTGGGATTGCTGAGGTGTGAAGTGACATTTCCTCATGTGTGATTTGTGATATCAGATGTGTAACTGTTTCTGAGTAAGTATTAAAAGATTTGCTAAAAGTCACTTTAATAGATGGGGCTCAGATATTTAGGTGATCCTTGAAACAGGCAGTATATAAAATTATGATTTCTTCCATTGGAAGTTTATATAAACAGAAAAATATATAAATGTTAAGTTCATATATAAACAGAAAATATATGAACATGTATTATTTTAGTATTTTTGTGATGTTTTTATTTTCACAAAATGAGTTTTCTGACAACCACTCAACACCTGAGTCATGTCATCAATAAAGTTGATTAGATATAACTATATATCTCCTACCAAGACAAGCATACAATTATTATATATTTCACAAATTTGAGTAAGTAACAGCGATCTTTTAATATAAAGCTCCACGTGTGAATTAGGAGAAAATAAATTATTCCAATTCGGAAGTTTTTAATGACAGCAAGATGAAGGTTGTTTTATCTACAGTTTCATGTGATAACGGGAAGAGTTTAGACAGTGGTTTATTGCCATGTGCAGATTTTTTTTTTTTTTGGTAGCAAATAGCACTCATAATAGAACCTCCCTCCTCAAACAAAGTTGTCCTAAAAACTGAACTAATTAGTAAAAGAGTTCAGGTTATTCTGTGGAACAAGTAAGTACCCAGTGAAACTCTTATCGACTGTTAGGAACATTTAATGAAATTCTTGAGTACTGAAAAAGAAAATAAGGTAACTCTCAAAGGAAGATAAGTTGGATGCCATCCAATTAGCATGACACTCTTGTCATCTAAATCAAAGAGAAAGGAATCAGGGGCAGTGACTGTGAGGTGGTATCCAGGCCCCTGTTCTCAAGATTGCTGTGCTGTCACAGTGTCTGCTTGGTTCTGTGTACATTGCTGAATATTATGAAAATTAGAGGTATTTACTTTAAACACAGAGAATGTGATTTAGTTCAAAAGCACAGATTTAGTTACTTGAGTTTCTGTTTATGATGTAATTGCAAGTACACTGTGTAAATCACAACATCAAATCAAAGCCATGAGCATGAGCACAGCTGTCAGGGAATAACTAAGACAGGTTGTCTTCAACACATGGGTAGATAGATTTAAAATTTTGTTTGACTT